GGGGGGGGGGGGGGGGGGGGGGGCTTAAACTTAATTTTCTAATAAAATTGAGGCACAAGTCAAATTTTCGTAAATAATAAATTTTCCTTTAAAAAAGGCAAGATTCTCTCCACTTTAAATATGCATTCATTTTATTTCAAAATAATAATAATAATAATAGATATTTAATGCAAATTTAATTTAATTATTCCCCTTTTAATCTCAAGAGTTAAATTAATTGCTATTTCATATTATTTTCATTTAAGTTGTAATTTAATTATTTTTTTAAAATAATCCTACGCTAGATATTTAATTTATCTAAAAAATAAATCAAATTTGAGCGTTCAATAAAATAATTAAAAAAAATTATTGTGACTTAGATATAATTATAATTCCAAGTATTAGATATTTAACATATAATTTATTATGAAGTATTTGTTTACAAATTTATATGATTAAATTCTTAAGCTATTTTGTTTAATCTAAATTATTTGATAAAAAATTAATTAGAAAAGTAGTTTTTATCAAAACTATATTTTAAAAATATCCAGCACGCGGCTAAAGCACCCAGCCCACAATGCAAAAAAGCCAACCTCAATTAAAGGCCCAAAATTTATTTACGTTTTTGTTAATCATAAGGATAAAATCGACTTTTGACCTAATTGTAATTGGGAACCGTTCGTGAATAATCAATTTAATTGTAATGGTTATATATTATTAGACAAAATTTATGCTACAATGCCAAATAAATGGGGTCGCCGACGGAATTATATTCCTTGTCTCCTTCTCCACCCGTTTAATATAAATACACACATATATATATATATATATATTTTTGTATGTACGCGTACCTATGTGAAAAAAAACTGAGGCATGTAATATAAATACACACATATTTATATATATATATATATGTATGTATGTATGTATGTATGTATGTATAAAAAAAACTGACGTAAAGGCATGCGTAATGTGGTTTCTTCACCCCCACGTGCACCGCATGCTTTTTTGCTCATCTACCCTATTTCCTCTGCTTTTTCGTCCTCCAAAAATAACATAATTACATTTTAGACCTCATAAAATTTCACTATTATTTTTTATAATTAAATTTTATGCAATATTTTAATTTTACACTCAACTCTTTAGTTCACATATAAAAAGGAAAAAAAAAAAAGAACACCTCCCTTTTTAATATTAAATATTCACAGATCACAACTTATTACTAACGAGCAAATATAAAATTTTAATAATCTTCATAATAATCTTAAAAATAAGGTAGAATTTGATTGTACCCTATTTTCGAGTTGATCGAATTGACCCGGACGAAAAAAAATATGAACCCAACAAATAGATCTGGAATTATAATTTTTTAAAAGTTCAATCCAATCGAAATTGAAAAAGAAAATCTAACATAACCCAACTTTTATTATTTTCGTTAAATAGTCTAAATTAGTTGAATTCGGAAGTTATTTGAAGCTCTACGAAATATAGTTGGCAGACATAAATTGTGAAGATGAAACAACATACGTGTCGTGAAAACAAAACAAAGTGTGTTTGGCGACAAAGAGGATGAAACAAAATCATTTAGAGCCAAAGAAGTTGACCAACCAAATCAAAGAATAAACTTTTTGAATTAATTGCACCCAGAAATTTCTGTGATTATAATGAAACAGTGTTTGGCATCTCCAAAACTTATTATTATTATTATTATTATTATTATCATTTTTTCTCTCTTATTATCAAAATTTCCACCCACCTAACCCTTCTTATCCAACCAAACTCGTGTTTGGTAGCAAATTTAAAAATTAAAATTAAATTTATTTTCAAAAATTAAATTAGATTTGATAGCAATATCTTTAATTAATCTATTTTTACAAATTTTCTAATAAATTTATATTTTAAAACCCGGTTTTGAAAAGTTGATCAAAGTTCAAGAGTATTTTTTTTTAATTTACCAACGTTCCATCTCAACCATTATCTACTAGTTTATCAACGTGCTTACGTCATAAATTTTATGCAATTTTAAGTTTATGACCTAAAATAATATATTTATCAAATTATTCATCTTGAGCTAACCGAGTCGAGCAAGCCCAACCACAGTCTATCCCGAGAACCCCTAAAACCATAATTGTCTTGGTAGGTAGTAGACACCAAAAATTTAGGACAATGAAGGTTGCCCACCAATTATTTTGCATCTTGCTATCCATCCATCATAGGAAACAATTTAATTCAAAATTTAAAATAATAAAGAATTTTTTTTTGGAATATTCCTTTATTTATGTAATTTTGAGTTCTAATAAAGTTCCAATCTTTCCCTTCCTATTTATACTTTATTTATTTATTTTTATATATAACAATAAATTTTATACGTACTTTTTGACTTTCAAAAATTTTTAAAAATGCCCTCAAATTTTCAAAAATTTGTTTAAAAACTTAAAAAAAACAACTTCAAAAATTTTTAAAAATATATAAAAAAAATAATAATTTTGAACATGTTAAAAAATATTAAAAAATATATTCTTTACGTTACTCCCGCGTTTCAAAAATATTCTTGAACTTTTAAAAGTAACACTAAAAAAGTTAGGGATAATCTATGAAATATCGATATACAATTTTCATTCATATATTGACGGTAAGATTTTTTTTTAACAAAAAAGTGTTAATAGTACTTCAAAAATTTCATCGATATTTCAAAAAAATTTAGAGAAAAATTGAATAAATAATATAAATAAGATGGATAAAAACATGGAAGAAACAAAAAACACGACAAAATTAAGGCTCCGACACGTATGGCCCGACATAAAATGCATAGAAACTACACTATTTTAATTCACGTTTATTTATCCTCAACTATAATATTTTAATTCTAAACCATTTTTTAATACTCAAATTTGGATATGATTTAAGTCTATATTATATATATAAATTATTGATTGTAAACACGTGCCACACAAATTTAATTTATAGTGTTTATTAGTAAAAGGTTTAATTAATTAATTAAAGGTATTAATGAATTGTTTTGAAGGTAAAAGTTGAACGGCGGTCGGGTCGAGAAATTTTTGTTTGAACAAGCTCAAAAGTTCGGATTGGTTGAATAGGTAACTCAACTCAACCCTCTATTTTCGAGTTGGGTTGTCAAGTTGTTCACCTCTTCAAAACTATCCAAGAATATGTGTCATGTGGAGGACGAAGAACTCAAAAGCTGGGTCAAACGATTGAAGAAATATTGATGTTTAATGCAGGAAGAACTAAAGACCGAAGAGAGCAAAGAAACTAAGCTACGAAGTGTTGAAGTACCAAGACCGAGATGAGAGTCGAGACTGAAGAAGGTGATAAAGCAGTGGAAGAAGGAGAAGATGTCAAGTGAGAAAAGAAAACAATCACTGTTAGGTTGGGTCGGTTGACTCGATCTTTTGCACACTAAACCCGTACCCAAATATACTGGATCAGGATCTAAAAAAATTTCAACCCAACCCACAATTCTATTTAAATCCAACCTAACTCTTAGAATTCGAGTCGAATCGAGTTGTGTTCAAGTTCTAGTGACAGTTTCATCCAAAATTATCCATATAATTATTTTTTAACTTTATTTTTAAAATTTAAACATTTATTAAAATTTTGAAAGTGTGGAAAATATTTTTAAGATGTGCATTTTTTTTTCTCATCTCATTATTGCATCATTATAATGGTCCCAAATTTTTTGCCCCTGTCTCTATCAGCGAGTTGTCCATTTTATTATTATTATATTTAAATTATTTTCATTTTCAACGTTTTATTTATCTTAATATCATTTTTTTTTATGAATCCATTAATTATTTTAAATTAATTTTAATTTTTTTTCTAGCGACTGAACCACTAAAAAAAATACACTTTATTGATATAGATAATAACTTTTGTTTTTTTAAAATGGACAAAAATATCACCCGAGCTTATCAATAAAAAAATCACAATAATAATTTTTTTTTTCAATAAACAAAAAGTGATGGTGAAGAAAAATTTCAAAATTCCCATGAAAAAAACACCATAGACTATTGAAATTACAAGCTTGCCCTCAACTTTAAAATTTCTCATTTTCCCATTTTTTTTTAATGGCAATTTGATATTTGTTAATTGTGCAATCAAATAAAGTAGTAATTAAAAAATATTTAAATTTCCATAAATTTTATAATTTTATTATGTCATTAATAAGGGAAGTAATATTATTATTATTATAAAATAGTTTAATTTTCTATTATGAAAGTTAATTATTTTTATTTTAGGTTTAAAATTAGAAAAGTAAAAAGAAAATAATTTTAGAACTATTATTTTTATTTTTTAAACTAAACTAGAAAATAAAATAAAATAAATCGGTAATAAAAATTTGGACTTCATTTCCATATTTCCTTTGTCGTGTATCTCAAACCCCAAATGTTAGCCCAAAGAATTATCTACACAAACTCTTGTAAACCAGACCGACCACGGTTCAAACCGGCCACGGAGATTTTCAGAACCCAGAACCGTCGCCGGAGTTGGGGAAATTTTGCGGCATCCA